TTCAGAAAGTTTGTGAAGAAATTCCGTTTTATCCATGAACTTTTTGAAACACATACTCATGCATATACATTGATGAGGGAGCTTCCAAAAGTTCCTGAAAATGAAATATAAAATTCTGAATTTTTTTCAGGAACTTTTTGAAGGCCTCTGTGTGTGTGTGTGCATTGGGAGTGCTTAATGTTCGATTAGAACATTCATTCTTGAGGTAATCTCTAAATTCAGGTGAGATACACTCAAGATTATGCTTTGAGCCTCATGGATATTTAAAATTTTTCTTCAGCTCCAAATTGAATGTTTACATGAATAATTGGTTGTCTGTTCTACATTAGCCCCTGGCCTTGTTCTGCCTGAATTTATTGAGTTTCTCCATCGTCTTTTTCCATTGATGTAGTAGTCTATTTTATTCTTGTCTAGCTCACCAGCTGCTCTTCCGAAACCTTATACAGGTTTCTATGCATCAGAACCGACTTGATGGCACTTAACAACATCAATTCCATCTGATGAGTTTTAAATGTATAATTACAATTAATGTTGAGATAAAGTCTTTTCAATTAATAAGTCATTGAGTATATAGGGTCACTATGAATTGGAAACCACTCAACTGCACCTAATAACATTTAAAAAATTATATTTAGCCATACATTTGTTCTTATATACTTCATTTCTACTTGTGAGTCCATAATATTTCTAGTATCATGTTTTTCTTTCCTGAAGAATAAACATTAATATTTTTTTTAGTACAGTTCTTCTAGCAATCATTTGCTAGTCAAAAGAAAAGTTCTCTTATAATTCATTTTAAAGGATATTTTCATAAACCCAATAATTCTAAGTATACAGTGATATTTACTGTACTTTTAAAGTAATTTAAATAAGTCTTTTAATCCTTTTCAGAATCCCAACATTTTTTAAAAAGAAGTCATCAATCTTATAGCTGTTCCTTTTATATATGGATATTTGGTCTCTAGTTTTTACCATTTTTTTATGATATGCCTAGCATTTTGTGTTTATACTGCCAAAAATTCACTGCTGCATCAAGTGTACAGTCCAATTAGTTATCCACTTAAATTTTTAAGTTCAGATTTTTTTTAATTCAACAACATTTTGAGTAATATTGTATAGATTTCAATTTGCTTATAAAAGTCTACATTCTTTTATTTATTTTGTTAATTTTCTTTTAAATACTAATCATAGTGCTTTTTCCACTTCCATTTTTATTTTCCTTTTTATGAGAAGGTTTACAGAGAATATCATCAGTTTGACATTCAACAAATTTATAATTTGTTTAATTTCTATTGTATTCCCTTCAATGCAACACCACCCTACCCACTTTCGTCCTGTGTTTCCTGTTTCATTCCTCCTTCTATCCCAAGTTTTCTGAACTTTGTCCCTAAGAAACTGCTGCCTCCTACCTAGTTTTAAATTGTCAATCATTTCATGATATGTGCACCTCACCAGTATTGTTGTCTACCCTGTCCCCCACCAGATACCTATTTTTGTTGTTGTTAAGTGTCACCAAGGCAGTTCTGATTCATATCAACAATGTATTGAGTTTTTGAGGAGCAACTGGTGGGTTTGCACCACCAACCTTTCAGTAAACAATCCAGTGTCTATTCTACAACACCACACCTATCTACAGCTTGGCTGAAATTTGAGCCATGGGGGTAAGTTTATTTCCAGACCTGAAGAGTGACAAAGAGTTATTGTCTCAGGATTCCATTAGCCTCTATGTGAGCAGTAAGCCTAGTCATTTTATGATTTTGTAATTTGTTCCACATTTTCCCCCACTCTAAACAGGATTTTCTAATGTGAACCCTTTCAGAGTAATTGGTAGTGATAGCCAGGCACCATCTATTTCGGGTCTCAGCATTTTGGAGATTGATATTCACATGGCCTATCAGTTCGTTAAACTAACTGCTTCCAAAAATCTTTAATGTACATTACTCTTCTTTTCTCTGAGCTGCAAAATATCAATAATTTTACCTTAGATGGATGCTCATAAGGTTCCAGATGTTGCTCATAATTTTTGATATTTTGTAATCATCTTTTTAAAATCTGTATCATTTCTTATAGTTTCTCTTTTGCTTCTATTATTTTTACTCTCTATTATTGACCACAATGTGTTGCCCTTTTTTATTTTATGCTGGTGTGGTGCTGTAGGGTAATGTGCCAGACTGCAAAAGTGTTAGAATTGTTCAAATCGATGGTTTGAACTCACCAGCTGCTCCTTGGAAACCCTATACAAGGTCGCTATGGGCCAGAACCGACTCGATGATACTTAACAACAAAAATATACATGATGAAGGAAATATGGTAACTCTGTATGATCCACACTGGACTGTGAATCAGAAGATCAGTGGTTCAAGCCTACCAACAGATCACAGGAGAAAGATGAGGCTTTCTGATCCGGCAAACATTTACAGACTCAGAAACCCTATACAGGGTCACTATGAGTCAAAACGGTCTCAATGGCACTTTACAACAGCAACTACATACATTATATATAATAGAAAAGTTGTTTAAAAGGTTGTTTAATATATAAGTATTGTTGATGATTGCTATTGTTAATTGCCATCAAGTTGATTCAGACTCAAGAAAACCGCATATATGTACAGTGGAATATTTAGACTATGAGATTTCAGGAACAGATTCCCCAAACCTATCTTCTGAGGAGCCTCTGGGTGGGTTTGATTTAGCATCCTTTCAGCAAATTGTTGTTAAGTGCTGTCGAGTTGGCTCTGACCCATAGTGACCCTGTAAAGGGTTTCAGAGGAACTGCTGGTGAGCTCGAACCACCGACCTTGCAGTTCAAATGGCTTTGCAGTCTGGCACATTAACTCACAGTGGTGCATAAGGTGCATAATCATTATCATCACCCAAAAACTCCTGTATTAAAAGGTATAAATGGCCTTATCTTCCACTTAAAAGAAATTTTAATGGATGATAGGGTGAGGGATTGACAAATTAAATACATTTAGCCATTAGTATAAATCATTGTAGTTACGTAAAACTTTGTCTAATTCTCATTTACCCATGTTGTTCAGTAATGATCCTCCTGGGCTTCAATTATAAGTTCAATAGCCTCAGCTCTGCTAGTCCATGGAGATAAAGTCCTGTCAATAAGAGCTTCACAATCCTGCTGTCTAGCATCTTGACCCTTAGAATTTCAAATACAGTGTCTTAAAAGGAGACAGTACATGTGTGTGAGTTTATCCCTCTTTTACAAGGTCATTTCTTCCCAAGTATAATATGATTGCTGATGATTTTTGCTCTTTAAAATTTTATTCTTCACTTTCCAACCTCCCATAGAACCTAGACCTAACAAATACAGCTTAAGGAAACTAATATTTAATTTAAGCTATACCTTTTTACTTTGTCATTTTAGCCTTGTCTAAACAGCATTATGTGTTCAGGTTTCTCTCTTGACAACATAGGTTCTATAACTAGATGTGCCAAGCATGATTCCAATGTATGTCTAGAATGATAAACTGCTTCAGTGTGGGGGAGGGAGTGAGGGAGAGGGAGAGAGCCTGGCTATTCTAAATTGCTTATATTCTCTTTAGTTTTTAGATTATCTAGTCTTTTTGATTCCACACACTCTCATACCTTTAAAATGCAGCTTTTAAAAATGTACTTGGGATTGTTTTTTTTTAGATCCATTGGGCTGCTACCTAGTATTGAAAGAATCTATGTTTAATAAAGAAGCAAAAATAACAGAGAATAAATGAAAAATGTTTTTGACTTCTCTTTTTATATTGCAAAGGTAATTGTGACAAAGTTTAAGTAATTTTCCCCAAATGGTAAAGGGCTATGATAAGGAAACAGAAAACCTGGTATGACTCCTGACACCTACTCTCTTTTTTATGCCAGTACTAATATTGTATCATTCAGGGTTCAGTAAAGAAAAGAAAATTTACATTGTGATTCTAAAGGGAGAGGTTTATATATAAGGAAATGGTGCACAGCTGTTCAAAACAGAACACGTTGAAGGAGGCGCCATA